TCTAATATCTGGAATAGAGAACATGCCTGATGTTGTTATCACCCCAGTTCATTCAAGCTTTGATGATAATGATCGTTTTTGTGATGATGCTAATATTGAAGTAAATAAAGATCTGAACAATGAAATATCAGATTCTCAGATGGTAGTAGACACTTATTCCTTAATAAATTCAAAAGATGATGATACAAACAGACAATTATTATCAACCACTCCAATACAAACCCCAGCTGTAGAAATACCTACTTTCACTTTTAATTTGCCTAAGTTTTCATTACCTACACAAGTTCAAAAACCACTTGCCAAATTTGAAATACAATGGAACCCACCCCCAAAATTATCTATTTTCCAAGATGTCTCTAGCTCGGACCAATCAAATTTATCATCGAATTCACTTCCAACAAGCAATATAACAAACATTCCAGTAACAATTGCTCAAGATGTATTTATGAAACCCCCATGTCAAAGTCCGACAAATATAAGTCCTATTCAGTCACATCCTAAAATTAATTTAAAGGAAAAACTAGATGTTGCACAATCAATTGAACATCAAACTAATCTGACCAAAAAATACTTCCGCAAATGGCAGAATTATGTTAATTGTAAGAAATCTATGTATATTGAAGAGATGTTTGCATATGGTGATCTATTTCATTCAGAGTGTATTTCATCATTGTCTTCATCTCCATCATCAACGAAGTCTCTGAGTTATGTTGATGAAGTTATTGAAATACAAGAAGAACCAAAAGAATGGTTAAATAAACAGTACATTCTGGCAGAAAAGTATTTCTATATTTGGCTGCGAAAAGTTTTACGTAGAAGAAGAAAGATTGAAATAGATCCTGTATGCAGTTTGCCATGGTCAGTATTTATGCAAGTACATGGCACACCAAAAGAGACATTACCAGTTACGATTAAAGATTTAAAGTTGAAGAGACAGTTAAAAATTCCTATACATCATCCATTAAGTAGCAATAATTCTACAGATTATGATATTAGCCTTCAAATGGCTAATATATTTGTTCAAAATGTAAAAGAGATGAAAAAAGATGGATTTGTTGGGAAAAAGATATTTTGGAAATTGGCAGTTAATTATGGAAACACACCAGAACCCTATTGTATAGAAAAAAAAGTATTGACTATTCTTTATGGTAAATTAGGATTTAGTAACAATCAAATACAAACCATCCATACTGATTGTAATGCATATTTCATAAAGACAGTGCATAGTTGTATTGGGCAATTCAACTGGACAAACAACGGTTTGAACGCAGCTCTTATTTTCACAAATACGGATAAAGAAGACGTTGAGACGTTATTTAAACGTGTGGATTCAATTTTGCAGTCAACTCCAACAGCAATACCTTTGGTCATGATATTTTCTTCAAGGTCAGATAAAGATAGTATTAAACATTACGAATATGTATTAGACGGGTACAAAGAAAATGAGTACATTAACAATTACACTGTTTACATGTGGGATGGACCAAAAACTGTTCTAGAATCCATTGAATTTTTTTCCAAAAATTATGTAGACTTTACCCCTGGTACGTGTACAGAAAAATTATATTATAATTTACTCAATTTTTCTCAACATTTCTTCGTAAAAGTACGTAGTTTATTACCTAGTGATGATCCAAACACTATTATCGAAAAATACAATCAATGCTTGGATGCTTACATTGAACGCTTGGGTAGAAGTAATCAAATATTAACAGATTTGGCACCCGACTTGGTTCCATATTATACTCAAAATCCAGATGAGTTTTCAAAAGAATATTCAAACTTGAATCTAAAATATTTTGAAAATTTGCTAAATATTGCACATCTATTGCCATTTGAATCATGGCCACCTAAAAATGTTGATGATTTAATGGACTATGTAAAAAATATGTGTAAACTTTCAAACCGTAGATCTTGGTGTTTAGACATATTGCAAATGCTCCAATTACATAGAAAAGCCGATTTAGAACACTGTTTATTGAATGCTAGTTGGTACGAACCAATCGAAATGTGGATTGAAGGTACATTAGAAAAGTGTTCTGCTGCACAGAATGATTTCACCGTATTTTACAATGGTGATCCGATCAAGGATGTACTGAATATGATATTTCCAGACTGACAGTAAATATATTCAGCTTTTATTAATTAAAAATGACCCTTAATTATTGTTAATTGATAATTTTTCATAACTGGTATATTATATGCTTCTATATTTATATATAGCTAGTCTTAACTATCAATATTTGCATTATTAAATGTATATTTGTAAATACAATTGTTTGAGTAGTCAATTTAAATTGTTTTCATTGTGTTAAGCTGACAAATGCTTTTTTTTGCTAAAATACAGATTTACAGATTAACTCTTATTTAAGTTGCAACATTATAATTTTGTTTCTTTACAATTAAGAAATTTATATTATGATTAATTCATACTTCAAGTATTGTTTAGTATAGTAAATGAAAACTACCAATTGTTTGATACTAAGATACTAAAAATAATTTATAGTTACTAATAACTCAACAAGACTTATTATAATTTTAAACTTTTTTACTTGTATAACCATTATAATATAATATGACTTGGCACATTGGTATTTTTGTTGTTAAAGTTTTCTGTTTTATGTATATTGACTATATATACAGTGATTGAAGTGGGGGGTACGGTGGGATGGCATCCCTCAACGTTTAACAATTCACATTTTCCATCCCATCACTTATTTTGTCAAAAATAATTCATCTGCCTTATAATTGTCTACAAATATTATCGATAAACATTGCTAAGTGATGTATAAATTTGTTTCATAATAGGTACTAGGAGTTTAAGGCAATCATTTAAATTTTTTTAAATTAACTCTTTTTTCCATAAAAATGCATATTATTTAGATACTGAGTGGAGTGACGAATATATTGATTTTACATTTTAACAATGATGTATGTTTTTTTATATTTGTATTTTAAGTAGATCTTTTACATAGATACTACCTATAATACAATATTTAATATGCATTTTCAAGAAATTGAGTAAAATGATTAAAATATTATTTGATAATTTATTACGAAATGTATAGGTATTTACAACTGTTTAATCGGTAATAATAAATCATTAACACAGTATGCATTAATAACTAACCTTTTTTGTTTTGTTTTAAGACAATCTTAAAAAGTAGAAAAATTGAGGAAGAAAATAATAAATAAATATAAATAATGTATACATTATACATGTCAAAAAAAAACATTTTAATTTTTTGGGTTTTTAATGATGAAATAATTTTTTGTGAGAGCATACCTTTTTAAGCATTTTTGCATATCAATACAGCATACATGGTAAATATTTAAGGCACATCTCATATATGCATTTTTTAAGGTTTTTTATAGCATGGAGACAATATATATTATATAGTCTCTAGCCCTATATCAGGGATAAGAAACTCAAAGTTACTAGAGGCCAATTTTTAGAAAATTAAAATCTAGCGGGCCAGAGCATAGAAAGCAAAAAAAAGCGGGTCATTCAAATATACGTTTTAATCAGCATTTATTTTGTTTATAATGTAATTTTAAAATGTATCTTGGGCAGATAAAAACGGATCGCGGGCCTCCAGTTGCCAGCCCCTGCCCTATATAATTGTATCTATTCATTTGATTCTTGAGTTCAGAGTCATAACTTTTTTGATTAATTTTACAAAAGTTAATAAATAAAATAAATAAAATTTGTCATTATAAAAAGTTTAGCAATTTCATAATTTTTTTTATACCTTCTGCATAATATTGTGTAATGCAAATGTAGGTACTTTTATACTTAAATGTGAAAAATGAAAAAGAGACACCAAACAAAAAACCAAAAATATATACTATACATAAAATTGTATCATAAAAAAATGTGTAAGGAGCTTAACTTATCCGCCTCCCAATCCATATGATGTATGACTGTTTAAGCTGTATTATACGAGAACTGTTTAAAATATGAAAGGCATCCCTCCTCTTATTTTAAGCCACTTCGACCACTGTATACTACATAATTTATTCATAACTATGTTTTCTATATAACAGGGGTAGCAAACCTTTTTCTGATCAAGTACAATTTACAAACATTTTGTAATCAGTTTCAAAAAAATTGTATGTGCTTATTATTATTTTTTCAATATGAAGTGTTTATTTTGTTGTTTTAAATGTTTTATTAAAATACATTAAGCAACATTAGCTTCAACCATTAACTGTGAAACACAAACTTTCACATTTGATATGGAAATGAGAATATTAAATGTAAAAAGAATTTTTTTTTTTAATAAATGCAACTATGTAAGATTTAACAATGAAAAAAAATATATTTTTGCTTACCATTAAATTACAGGTTTGCCATTGTTGCTATATAACTAGAATATGAAATAAGTTGATTCAAAACATTTAAAATACGTTTCATAATTTTTATTTTTTTTAAAACAAAATTTAAAGTTTTAAGGGTAAGCTGATAAGTTAAAAAATATACAAAGTTTTTAGAAGTACATTATACTTCTTATTTTTATCAAATTACAAATTATATAAATAACTATTTTCTTAACATATATATTAATATATTGTTATTATTATTATTATTATTATTGGTGTTAGCTATTAAGAGCCTGAATTGTAAAACTTGTACAACACACCTACTATTAATGCATTGTAAAAAACATTGTAAAACATTGAATTGAAATACAAATTAAACGATTAAGTAGTAAAAATAATGTGGTGACTATAATTATTATAATTTAGAAGTATTTATTAGGGTCCTGGTGTGTCATGAATGATTATAAAATGAATTGTTCACATCAGGGGCGTAATTACGGGGGGGGATATGGGGGATAGATCCCCCCCCATGAGCTGTAATATTGTCTTATACCTACAAATAGTTCAAATAAAAACTTATAAATTATTACGAAACTAAAAAAAAAAAAGTTTAGAAGTTGTGTGTACTTAAATATTACCCGTATATAAATATTTACCCGTTAACGATAAGCATGATTTCAAAATAAATGGTCCGATTCATTTTAATTCTTATTTATTAATAAACATTGGGTGCCTTGCCACACACTGTACCTAATTTTGAATAGATTATAGATGGTAAGTAATCCGATTATAAGAAAAACCTCCATTCCATAAACATAATAATATAATAATAAAAATGTAACTTCAAGATTTACATTTCGTAGAACGAATAATAGCCATAGATAGTAGGTACTAAGAACGTGCGCCGACACAAAGTATCTACATTGATTATTGCGATCACATATAAACAGTAAACACTACACAGTAGGTATACACACCGTGACACCGTGTCATTCTCTCATATTCACAGTGTCAGTTACATTTTTATAAGCCAAAAGCAAAATGGAGCAAAAAAAAAGAAAATTACCAGCAACTAGCAGTACTTTATTGAATTTTTTTAAAAAGAAGCCTGGGCCTGACGTAAGTATTACAATTTAAAATACTAAACATTATTAGACCCGGAATTAAATGTTTAAATATTATGTATGACGTATTCAACTTATTATAATTAGCATTACAACTCGCGCTAAAATTATGCAAAATTAAATTAACACCAGTTAAAAAAAGTACCTATTAAAAATATAATTGCAGTCACTGCATTTTATTCAATAACTATTAATTATGTCATATTAATTATTATAAAACATTTAAATGAGTTTATTAAAAAAAAAAATAGAATTTAATAATTTATGATAATCTTATAATAATAATTCCTACCTAATATTTAATAACAATTTAATTCGATTTTACCTATACAATTTCTTGTTTATTATTTAAGGAAAACATAGAGAAATCTGATGATGTATCACGTGAAAAATATCATGTTGAAAATAAAAATTTGATTCAAGCTGTCCAAGAAACAAATAAGGTACGGTAGCTATTGTTCTATCGTTCTATGGTATTATACCTGTAGCTTGACTCCTGCCTGCTAACATTGCATTAAAATTAATAAATTAGATTGTGCTTCGTAATTTTTTAGAGAGAACATTTTGATGCTCGTAAAAATGACATTGCTTTGTTTATTAAACGTGATTTGTTATCAGACGAAGAAAAAAATACCGTAAGCTTTTCGAATGCTAATGCCTTATGTCGGATTTAGTCTGAACTATAGTTAAAACCTACCAATATATCATAATATAATATAAATTACACTGTAATTTTTTTTTATTATTTTTTGTTTAAAACCTGTAGGTACTTACCAATTTATGGTTACCAAATCATAATTATGTATTTCCATTAAATGAAAAAAACAAAAAAAGAGGTTTAAAATTTCAGCATAAATGGCTGAACGAATTCAATTGGCTTGTTTATTCGGAAGTTGAAGGTGGAGCTTTTTGTAAGCATTGTGTTGTTTTTGCAAAAACCGGTGGAATAGGAAATCAACCTTTAAAATATTTGGTTACTGAAGTATTTGATAGTTGGAAAAAAGCTAAAGAGGTATAATTGAATATATTAATGTTTTAACTTTTAATCCCCTATAATTTAATATTATTTTAATTTTAATTTTATTTCCCTGTGAATACATGTTAATTGATGTTATTATATTGTTATAATTTTAATTAAATTATAGGTATTTCGAAATCATTCTGCATTAGAGTACCACACATTTTCTGTTTTGAAATCTGATGAATTTTTAAAAATATATTTAAAAAAAGAGCCAACAATAGTAGAAAGACTGGATACAGATAGGTATTTAATTATTTATTAGCTTAAGTCTGCAAGTATGTACTTTGATATTTTTTTTTGTTAAAGAATTAAACAAATCAAGGCGAATAGAGAGCGACTCATTCCAATCGTTGATTGTGTCATACTTTGTGGTCGTCAAGAGATTGCTCTACGAGGGCATAAAGATTATGGAAAAATTGATAGTATGTTTAAAATTAAATAATGTTATAGCATTACATATTATATAATAATGCTACCATTCAACTCAACCTTAATATAAATTTTTCATATTATAGTGGAATGTTCATTAAATCAAGGCAACTTTAGAGCCATATTAAAGTATAGAGCATGTGGTGATGAGATGTTAAAGCATATCATTACAAGTGAAGGACGAAACAAATACCTAACTCCTCAAATCCAAAATGAAATCATAACGGCATGTGGGGACATTATGCTGCGAAAAATAGTTAAGGATGTAAATGCTTCAAAATGTTTCTCAGTTTTAGTTGACGAGACTACTGATATTTCTACTATTGAACAAATGGCTATGTGTGTTCGATATGTTGACGATAACGATTGTATCCATGAGAGATTCCTGAAATTTATTACTATTAACAGTTTAACTGGTTGTGATTTAGCTGAATCAATACTCAACGGTAAATTAAAATGATATTATGTTTTTAATAAATTAATAATTGTATGGTTATTATATTTTGTAAATAGGTCTGAATAGTTGTGAAATTAATTTAGAATACTTATATGGTCAAGGATATGATGGTGCAAGCAACATGTCTGGCCAATATAAAGGTGTTCAGGCAATTATCAAAAAAAAATATCCTAAAGCTATATATGTGCACTGTGCAGCACACGCTCTAAACTTAGCAGTATCAACTGCAAGTGGAATTCAACCAGTTAGAAACTGCTTAAATATTATCGAAAAGTACTATGTTTTCTTTAATACACCAAAACGCCAAAATGTTCTTTTAACCAGCATTGAAAATAGTAATGAGGATCCTAAGGTTAAAACTTTAAAAAGATTATGTGCTACACGATGGGTGCAGCGTTATGACGCGGTTACAGATTTCATTGAACTATTTGCATTTGTAGTTGAATCATTAGAAAATATTTCTAATTGGAACGATTCCACAGCAACGGAAGCTAATATACTATTAAAAGCTATTGATTCAGAATTTCTTATATCCTTACAAGTTATACAAGTAAATAGTAATTAATAAATATAATTTATTTTATTTTATTTTATAATAAAATATTTTTTCAGTTGGTTTTTTCTTTTGGTTTACCATTGTGTAAGTTGCTACAAAAAGAACAAATTGATTTGAGAGAAGCAGTAAGCCTTGCTGAAGATATTATAAATGTATTAAAAAATATCAGATTAAATTGTGATACTGAATTCCACAAATTGTTTTTGCTTGCAAAAGTAAGTATACTAAAATAAAGTATATTATTATATGAATTATATGAAAAGAATTATGTTTATATTTGACATTTGTAATAGGAGATGTCAGTAATTATAGATATAGACTTGAGTACTAAAAGAATATCTAAACGACAAGTAAATCGAGCAAATCCAGATCCCAATTTAAGTGTTGAAGAATACCACAAAGTGTCAGTATTTATACCCTACCTGGACTTTTTTATACAACAACTAGGAGAAAGATTTTCAATCCATTCTGAAATTTTTATAGGTACCTATTAAATTAAATCATTATTATCATTTTTAATTAAATTGGTACCTAGTTTCTATAAAATTAAAAACAAATCACTGAAATAAAATATTCATATAATCAATCTATATTATTAAAATCAACCTTTAATGGTTTATGTATAATGTATATATGTCATATTTTATAGGATTTCAAAGTCTATTTTCCTATACATTCTCTTCTAATGAGGAGGTATCATTTAGAAAATTACTTGAATTTTATTCACCTTCTTTGGATGTGAACAACTCAATTGCAGAATTGAAATTGTGGAAAATAAAACTTGAGCGAATAAACAATATTCCGAAAACTGCAATTGAAGCATTACATGTGTGTAATGCCAATATTTATCCGAATGTGCATTTTATTTTAAAAATACTATGCACACTTCCTGTGTCTACAAGTACGCCTGAAAGAATGTTTTCCAGTCTTAAAAGGATAAAAACGTATCTTCGAAACAGTATGTCCGAGGTTAGTAATTATAATAGCTGTGCACCTGTGCTTAATAAAATACATTTTCATAATATCTAATGAGAAAAATGTTTCAATTTTTTTTGTAGAAAAGACTTAATGGTCTGGCAATGTTGGCAATTCATAATGATATTACATTTTCAAATGAAGAGGTCATTGATGAACTTGCCAAAAAGCCTAGGAATCTGGACATAATATTGTAAAATATTAAAACATTTTATAACATATTTGTAAATGTATAATGTTATGTAATATAGAATGATTATATTTACATGTGTTGAGTTATTAAATTATACAAAATATAGATAAGGGGGGTGTGGGCCGTGGGGGCAAAGGCCCCCACAAGTTTACCCTACAAATTTATTTTGATCCCCCCCCATCAAACATTCTCAGTTACGCCACTGGTTCACATTGTTCGTAGACATAGCGTACACACTACTGTATACTGGAACAATGACAGATTGGAGGGTAGGATGATATGGTAATATAAATGTGAACTAAAGCAACATATTATTGCTTCTTAATAACTTGATTTATAAAATGTTCCTAACATGGTTTTTATATTTTACATTTTTGTTACCCCAACCATCTTGTCAATACAAATTATTGATTATACATTTTTATATTATTCTATATACTTTAATAATGATAACATATTGAACAAACCATTTAATATTATAATGATATAATATATTTAATTTATATTTTTTTAGTACAGAATTACTTAAGGCTGTGAATTTGTAAAATAATGTATTTTGCCTTTGTCTAGGTATTCTAATACACAGACTTAGACTTCTCAACATTTCGTTTCAATTAGGTAGCAACAGAATAAATTTTGAAATTTTTACTTTCAGATTCTTGATTTTTTAGGTCTCGTGGACTTATATGTCATATTTTCCATAATTATTACTTATTATTTATTTCCAATATTTTTAATACTTTCCTTCAAATAAATTTTTTACACAAATTTAATAAGTCATTTTTTAATTTTTTCAAAAATTTTTTTGGGTCTTGTATCATTACACATTATACTTAAAATAATAACATTATTTTAGAACAATTGTTTAACCCATTGAATACCAACCATCTATCTAAATAAATTAAATATTTCTTTTTTTTTGTTTACTATGCAAATATGGTTTTTCATTTTCAATAAAACATTGTTTTATTCACCAACAAAATTAAATGATGATTTGATTTTGTATCTTAAGTGTATTTGTTTTTTAAATGATTGTATCAATACCTCAATATAAACATAAATGAAAAGTATATTTTTTGGAAGAATGATAATAGTATTAATTTTGAGAAATGTGAATAGTAATTGGTTATGTATTACTACCTATATTAGGTATTTCTTAACTCTTACATTATTAAATAGTATACAGTGTGTTTATTTTTAGATGTAACACTGACCATCTGATGTCACTGGACAGAATTATTTACTGTTGTTTTTAAAAAGAAACACACTGTATATTATTTTCATTTTAAAAAGGTTCATTCGTGCTCTATCACTTATTTACTATGATCCAGTATTAATAAACTTTCAAGTTTTATTTAAAATACTAAAAAAATTAACCAACCAAAGTAGTTTCAAAATAGTTCATAATAGTTGTTAAAATGTCTTCATTTATTATAAAATAATTAGTATTCATTAAATCAATAAAAGCTTGTTTAACATTATTAATAAGTATGGAGGGTGATCATCATTTGGATTTAAAGATGAAACCAGAATCTTTAATATACTTTTGTTGTCAACTAGGTATTTGTTTAAGCCCAGAATGTTTAATATGTCTCCAAACAGACTGCAGAAAATGAAAAAAAAAATTGTATAATTGTTACTTATTTATTATTTGAAATGGCTACCATACAGGGAAGTGATATGCAGAATGCAAGGCCGTGAATTTGCATAACATAGATGATAGATGATTTTCATATTTAACAAATTTGTTATTGGAATCGATTCACCAATTTCAAGATAAATAATAACATTTTAATGGGTTTAGACATGATAAGACTATAAAAGTGATTATTTTTCAAATATAATTAGGTACCTAATTGGTAATGATTCTCATTAATAGAATATTTTAAAATATTTTACTGATGTAAATATTGACATTCACAGTTTCCATATTATAGGAAACAACAAGCATAGATTATAGGACATAGGTTAATGCAAGTAATAAAACAATACCTGATCTAGTGATGGTGTGATCATAACAAGATGATTATGATTAACATAAATAGGAGTCACAGCCTACAGGAGCTTGGAGAAGTCTCAGACGATACACAGACAGAGCTTGTACTTATTAATCCATAATGACATTTGATATTATTATAATTCATTTCACACTTCGATTTCAAGTGCTTAAGCAGAGACATTACAACAGATGATATCCAACTGTGTGAAATAATAAGTCATGTGTAATTTTATTTTTTGTTCTGTGTCACATCTTGAAGTCACTGTAATTATTCTACTTATTACTTAGCAAGTTGTTTTTAGTTACTTAGTTCTTATTTAAATGATTTATCTTATACAATTTATAAATAGGTACCTCGGTACCTAGTACAAATATAATTTAATTTGCTATTCATAATGTAATAATCATATTAGGTTGGTCAAGGAAAAGATAAAATATTAATCATGAAAATTAATAATCTTCTTATGTCTTACAAGTTACAGGATTAAAATCAAGTACCCATTAATTATTACACAAAACTTTATTTAGATATCTACATACCCACTGGGCTAAAGCGCCCAGAAATGCTACAGAATATTTTATATACATTCCCAATGCTGAGCAAGTTAATTAGGTTTTTTTTTTTTTTAACTTGTAAAAGTTACATGTTAACTAAATTAAAAATCAGCTACTTTGTTTCATATAGTACCTACAATTCAAAGACTATACTTTTTTTAAAGCTAACAAATAACATAGTCATTTAATTGAGGACTTAGTTTTAAATAAATGTATACTAAAGGGATTGCTGTAAGTACTTATACATATACTTTAACAAGATTATTTTTATGCATATGCTTACCCAATAAATAGTTATGTTTTTCTTTTCTCAGTGAAACGGTTACACCTTACACCTAACACTACTTTTTGTTTATAATAAATAATATAATTTATTATATATATACTACGAATATGCAATATTATCACAATTATTATAAATTTGTATTTATCACATATTTTATTTAAAAATAATATTTAATATATTTTGATACATTTTTTATGATCTCGTATTGTTGAGACAAATCGAATAGGTACTCAAAAAAATATTACATTGGCATTACGTAAGCCTTACACATCATTCTACGTGCACGATGCACTTTACCAGCCCCTCATGATATTCAAAAAAACATTCCGACTTGTTTCTTACGCAGTTACGCTTTAAACGATGGTGTGTAAAAATTCGTTTTCCGGAAACTATTATTTTAGAAGTTATAGCCGTTTCAAATGTGTGGCTATACCACGGTAAATAATAAAATAATTGATGGGTACCTACGTAATGTGCGCTCCGCTCGGAACATAATAGTTTAACACTAAAACGCGAGTAATAACCAATAATAATGATATAATAGTATGAATCCAGAATCACGTCATTATAAAGGTGAAATATAATAGTTGAGCAATTACACTATTCACGTACCAAACTATTCTAAATTTCTAAACTATGTATAATACCTAGGTAAATGGATAATATATGCATATATCAATCAGTTATGTTATACTGACCGAGTTATTATTATTTGATTTTCAAATATTATATTGGATAAGTAGCTAATAGGTGTTCGCTTCACAGATTTTCGTCACTAAAATAAATATATGCACCTTGTGGTCCAAACAAATACGTAATTAAATATTTGAAAATTTTGCCTCCATAATGACTAACGATGGGCGTGCACGAACACCAACGGACGCAACATTCCATTGAACGAAACTGATGATAATGAATAAAAAAAAAACCACCTTGCTCATTGTTCCAGACGATCATCGGGCGGGCGTGTTCCGGTTTGCGACGGTGATAACACGACTGTAAACATTTTCTTGTCGTATTTTGTCATTACCTACTCATAATTGGTGTTCGTAATTTACACCGTCTATTGTTTTTGTTATTAATCGTTGCGCGGTATTCATTTGCTTTTCACGTTCTCGTCAGATCGCGATGAACGGCCACAAACCAGCATAGTAAATCAGCAGTGAACGAGGCACAGTAGGTGGTTTTTTTATTTCGCTTTTCAAAATGATCAAGCCCAGCTATCTGTGCGTTTTGGCCGTCCTGTGGTGCTCGACACCGTCGACTTTGTCGCAATTCAACGACGTGGAAACCAGCTGGCATTGTCCGCAGTACTGGGTCCAGTACGGAAACTCTTGTTATAAGTTTGTCAAATCGCCGTTCCGACCGAGAAGTGAAGCTCACAGAAACTGTCTAGTATGTATTGTCAAAAAACAAATGTGTTTTTTTTTAGGTTTTCTATTTAGAATCAATTGTTTTACTTGTGAAATGCAGTATTCATTATTAGATATAAGTTATAATATGTGATGCGGCAGTAGATTTTTGTGTTGGGCATAAGTTATAAATTAGTTTCATAAATGCATGTAATTTGTCCGAACGAAATCGGTTGTTTAACAATATATCCATCAAACATTGTTTATAATGCCATACGAGGGTTATTTAAGTTGGAGTATACTAAATACCTACCCAATACCCAATAAGAGTGTAGGTATAGTATAACTTTTGAAAGCAAAGAAATAATTCAATTTAAATTAATAATATGTTTAACTAGCTCAAAGTATTCTTGCCCTTTTAGTTGCAATTTTGTATGCAATTTACTAACCTGGTTGGTAAGCTGTACGTAATCTATCCTAAAATTGTATCGAACTAACATATTACTATTATTTATTATTAATTAATACCTTAATCAAGTATTATTAGTGCATTTTAATACGTTTGAAGTATTTCTTATATACTTTCTGCTGTACTAAATAATAAAATAATATACCTATTGTTTAATTAAATATATTAGTAAAAGTAAAACTTTGGAACACCCAAAATTAAATATATACAAAATGTATTAAAAAAGTTATTTTTCCTCTGAATGAGTAAGAATGTTGATAAACTGTGAATTAACCCTTTCAGTCCTCCGACCGTAATTTTACGTCTAAAACATTTACATAATTCACTATATTCCTTTATTTTAAAATATAACTATTTGTCGACAATAGAACAT